TAGAGAGGCACTCTGTTATCAGTTACACAGGTAGACCCTGTAACTATGCTGAAATTTTTACTTGTTTGGAGAAAATAAGGATATGTACACTTTGGTATGTTTGCTGTGCTTCCCTCCTGTCCCCCAAGCGATGGTAACATCCTTTCGTTCATAGTTGGGACTCTACCACTTAGCCACATCTCCAGTCTGCCATTATGTGTGTATATATGTGTGTCTGTGTGTGTGAGACAGAGACAGAGGTAGAGGGAGGGGGCCCATCCTGGGGCTTGAACTTGGGGCCTAGACTCTGTCCCTGAGCTTTTATGCTCGTCTAGCACTCTACTATTTTGAGCCATATCACTTCCAGGTTTTTGGTAGTTAATTGGAGATAAGAGTCTCACAGCTTTTCCTGCTTGGGCTGGCTCTGAACCACAATCCTCAGATCTCAGCCTCCTGAGAAGCTAGGATGAAAGGCATGAGCCACTGGCATCTAGCTGTAGTCTGGCATTCTGTTGGTTAGTTGGAGATAGTCTCATACTTTTCTGCCTGAAGTGGCTTCAAACTATGATCCTCAGATCTCAGCTTCCTGAGTAGCTAGGTTTACAGGAGTGCCACTACGTCTTTTAAAAAAATTATATTCCAGGGCTGGGAAGTTGGCTCAGTGGTAGAGCGCTTGCCTTGCATGCCTGAGGCCCTGGGTTCGATTCCTCAGCACCATATAAGCAAAAAGAAAAAAAAGCCGGAAGTGGCACTGTGGCTCAAGTGGTAGAGTGCTAGCCTTGAGCTGAAGAGCTGAGGATAGCACTCAGGCCCAGAGTTCAGGCCCCACAACCGGACCAAAAAAAAAAAATTATATTCCAATGAAAAGCATATAAAGCTAAAACTACAAATGTACTCCAAATATAGGAAAAGAAATTTTCTAGTCTTTGAAAGGAAGGAGCAGTCTAACTCCCATTTCTTGCAGAGAGGGAAGGAAATGTTTCTCTCTTCTTCACTTCTCTCTACTTTGGTTTTATTAAAATAAACCTTGCTAAAACTTAAAAAAAAAAAAAAAGAGGGTGTTGGGGCCAACACTGATGGCTTACACCTTAATCCTCACTGTGCAGGAAAGCTGAGATCTGAGGATCATGGTTTGAAGCCAGCCAGGGCAGGAAAGTTCACGACACTCTATCTCCACCTAACCACCAAAAAGCCAGGCACAGAACAGGCTCAAGTCGCAGAGTGCTAGACTTGAAAGGAAAAAAGGAGAAAAAAGCTCAAGAACTGTGCCATAGCCCTGAGTTCAAGCCCCAGGACTGGGACAAAAAAAACAAAAAAATGGGCTGGGAAGGTGGCTCAGTGGTAGAGTGCTTGCCTTGTGTGCATGAGGCTCTAGTTTGATTTCTTAGCACCATATAAACAGAAAAAGACAGAAGTGGCACTGTGGCTCAAGTGGTAGAGTGCTAGCCTTGAGCTAAAGAGCTGAGGGACAGCGCCCAGGCCCAGAGTTCAGACCCACAGCCAAAAAAGTAAAATACATACACATACCATCCCCTCTGTATCAGCTACACAGAGTAATGCCATACAAAGTGTATTCACTCCAGACATCTTGTGCATTATAAAGTGAGAGTGCAGAAAAAGCATCTTTGCTAAGATGAAAAACCTTATGACTCAAGAATCAAGTATTTTGAAAGCATTTATTAACTCTCTTTGTAGCATTTTACTTAGCAACTTTTTTAAAAGATAGGTAAATCATCTAAAAGAACCTTAAATAATTATAACTTTTTGTAAAATCACAAAAACATTTCAGTAAGAAATGCATTCTAGTCATACAAAGAGAAACAAATATAGATTACACTTGTAAGGCGAGACAGACACAAGCCCCCATGTGGGCCTACTCTGAAGTACTTATGGGCTCACATGACCTCAAAGGAAACTCAGGTATGGAAGGTTCCACTGGCACCAGGAAAAACACCGAATCCAAAAAGCAAGAGGGCTCCTGCTGGTTCAGGTCAGAAGAAACTCAAGACATCCTCAAAAAATGTGGCCTGGAAAAAATGTCTGAACATTCTCTCAGGAAAGGAAAAACAGAGTTGGAATGAATTAAAACTCTGGTATCCTAATTTAGTAAACTTAAGGCTTCTCAAGGTCATTATAAACTTCCATCAGAAAATTCTATCAGGGAAGAGATAACCAAGTGCTTCTTCGCTTCTTTACCTGCTTGCTAGGGACTTTCCTAGAGTTGGTCGCCAAGAACAAAGCCCTGATCACACCAAATCATTGGAAGCGGATAGCTAAGTGGCTTTCCCACTATGGCTTGGCAGCTCTCAGCTCCCCGGTATCAGGCAGGACTCCCAGCCCTCTACAGACAGCTTCAGACAGGTGGAGACCGGGAGCGGATGGGAGAACTGGTCAAGTAGGAGGTATAGGGACCCTCCCCAAACACATTGGCATAAGAGGACTTGAGAAACTGGACATAGTTCTGCATGCTGCGGTTGGTACTCTCTGACTGCTCCAGACGGTCTTTCAGGTCCTGCAGACGACTCTGGTAACGGCGGTCAGACTAAGAAAAGAAGCAGAACATAGGCTGAGCTTGCAAGATGTAAGAAAGGCAAAGCAGACACACACAGGCCTTGCTTACAAGGATGCCACGTCTCAAGGAGACTAATAGGGCATAAGTGACTAATAGGTATGAGTTGTTTTTGTTTTATACTTTGGACAATCTGAGGGTGGGCAAGCACTTTGCCATTTGAGCCATGTAACCAGCACTGACTGTTTTCTTCTGTGTGTGCATGCATACACACTGGTCCTGGGGCTTGGATTTAGGGCCGGCTGCTATTTTGCTTTTTTTTTTTGATCAGTTGTGGGGCTTGAATTCTGGATCTGGGTGCTGTCGCTGAGTTCTTCAGCTCAAAGCAAGCACTCTACCACTTGAGCCACAGTGCCACTTCTGGTTTTCTGTTGGTTAATTGGAGATAAGAGTCTCACAGATTTTCCTGCCCAGGCTGCCTTTGAACTACAATCCTCAGATCTCAGCCTCCTGAGTAGTTAGGATTACAGGTTTGAGCCACTGTCGCCTGGCCACTGTTTTGCTTTTTAAAAGTATGTTTTCAATGTGTTGCCCTGGACAGCCTGAAAACTTCTAGGCTTAAATGACTCTCTTAGCTAGCAACAGTCTCTAGCAAGCTCAAAACCCTGAGTTCAACCCTAATACTACCAAAAATGGGGGACAGTGACCAGAATCTACCTAGGTATCCTTCAAATATGTACAACGGACTGGATGATAACAACAAAAACTGTATCATAACTGGGCACTGGTGGCTCATACCTGTAATCTTAACTACTCAGAGGCTGAGATCTGAGGATCTCAGGTTTGAAGCCAGCTTGGGCAGAAAAGTACCCATGAAATTCTTTTCTCCAATTAACCGCACAAAAACTGAAAGTGGAGCTGTGGCTCAAAGTGGTAGAGCACTAGTCTTGAGCAAAAGCGCTCAAGGACAGAGCCCAGGCCCTGAGTTCAAGCCCACAAACTACCAAAAAAAAAATTGTAGGGCTGGGAAGGTGGCTCAGTGGTAGAGCGCTTGCCTTACATGCATGAGGCGCTGGGTTCGATTACTCAGCACCACGTAAGCAGAAAAAAAAAGTCAGAAGTGGCACTGTGGCTCAAGTGGTAGAGCACTAGCTTTGAGCTGAAGAGCTGAGGGACAGTGCTCAGGCCCAGAGTTCAGGCCCCACGACTGGACCCCCCCTCCCAAAAAAAAATTGTATCAGATTAGTAAAATCAAAACAACAGAATGGGTTGCCTCCTCTTGCGGTCCTGCTCAGCAGCCTGACTCACATCATCTCGGGTACGCCGCAGCTGACCAAGCTCAGTTTTGGTTCTGCTTAGCTGGGTCTCAAGATCCAGGATTTTGCTCTGGGCTGCTCGTTCCTTGGTGACTGCCTGTTCCTTGGTCTGCTCCACCTGCACAGAAGGCAAAGCAGTGGGACTGGCTGGCTTTGTACAGGGATACTTGGGCAAGGAGAGAGCTGTCCACTCCCACTACCTGGTCAGAGATCACTTGGAAACCAGTGTGGAAAGCATTTCTTGGAGCCTTGGGACAGGAGCAAGCCATGGGGCCTCCTGCAAGCCAGCTTTGCCTGACCTTACCGAGCACTCCAAGAGCCATCAGTTAGCATGGTAAACCCAGGTGAGTCCCAGGAGGGAGAAAGTAAATGAGCAAATCAAAAAGAAAGGTGGAACTCTGTGTCATAAATGCTCATTTGATTCTCACAGCAAACTCAGGGACTAAACACAGCCATTTTTCAGGTGAGAGACTAGCTGACAAATTATTTGTCCAAGGTGCACACAATTAGGAACACTGAGACTGACCTGCCGCCTGGCATCTTCAATGGCACTTTCCAGCTGCCTTGCCAAGGACCCGCACTCCCGGGTTTTCTCCTCCAGCCGCAGCTGGGCCTGATGGATTGCCTCTTCCCTCTTGGCAATCACCTGTAGGAACTCGACATTCTGGGCACTGGTCGCCTCCAGTTTCCTAGGTGAAAGCACAGAATCAGACCCAGCACTAACCCAGTGGACTTGCTCCACCTCGCCAGGGGGGCTGTGCCGCTGCCTGGACTGGGGGTTCTCATCACGCCAAGAGTCTCCAAGGAGCCGTGGGAGGAAACCAAAGCAAACTGCAGGTCAGCAGGGCGGCCATGGCACTGTGCAGCTGGAGCGGCTGGTCAGAGAAGAGTGTAAGTAAAGGAAAGAGCATGTTTAGGTGAGCGTGCACTGAGCCGCATGTTCCTTGTCACATGGAATAATCTTCAAACTGAGCCTGAGAAGGGGGAGACCATTGGCCTGATGTCAGCACAGCTGGCAGGTATCAGCAAAACCTCTCCCTTCAACTTTTGCTATTCCTTGATGCCACCCCACTCCAGCAAGGGGCTGGAATATTCCGCCTCTCATGTGACAGCCTTGAGGTAGCTATGGCCATGCAAGTGTACCCACTCCATCCCCATCATTTTTTTCATTTAAAGAGTATGGCAAGTCTTTCTGGCGTTGGCTGTATCTTCCACAACAGCAGGGCAGAGTGGAGCTGAAGCACAGAAGGCAGCAACCAATTCTGGCCTCCCTTAGGCTGCAGTCTGAGCTGAGACCAGACCTTGCGGGCTCCAGCCCTCCTTTCATAGGGACTAAGCTGACCCCGGAGGAAGACAGCCATCTGTCTAAGTCACAGCTTTGAGTGTTAGCCGTGTGACCTTAGGCAAATCACAACCTCTCCCCATCTCATACTCCTCACATTTAATGTTGTATCTACAAACCTGACTCAATCATCTCCACACACTGGGTAATGTGCTAAGCCCTTTACAAATATCCTTTCACTGAAGTATCCCTACACCTCAATTTCCCCTACAATGACGAGTTAAGTGACTTACTAAAGGTCACAATGCAATCAGTGGCAGAGCTGAGGACCCAAGGCCAGGGCTTCTGATTCTGAAAGGCGTACACCCCACTTCTTCTGCCTTCAGCCAACAGTAACAGAGGGGACTTGGATAGGGAAGTCATGGAAACAAGGATCGGGAACAGGGAAGTACCCACATTGATGGGTAGAGCAGACAGGGAGTACCCATGTTGTTGTCGACTTGTTCAAACTGGGACCTGCTGGTTTCGTGGCCCAAGCATGCTATTGATATAGCAGTGCTAAAAGGGTAGGCTGACCTTGATCACAACATTGAGGATCATCTCTCCAGGTTGAGACCCCCCCCTTCCTTCTGCACAAAGCTTACCACTACAATGGAAGTGGCTCTTCCTCTGAGGTCTGCCTAGCACCTTCCAGGGCCTTGAGTCCCTCAAACACTTCCGCACACTAAGCACAAAAGCAGCTAAGTGGCTGAAAGTCTCAGGTCCTAGGAAGAGGACAGAGATGGGACCAAGTGCCTCTAACCTCTCCAGTTCATCCACCTTCAGACTCAGCTGTTTATTTTCCTTCTGGGAAGCCTGCTGTTTCTCTCTCGCCATCTCCAGCTTGTCCCCCTGATGTTCGATCTAAAATGACAGGAACATAGACTGGTTTATGAAGGAATTTCTAGCAGGGAAAAATCATGAAGGAATTTTCTCTTCTCCCATTCATTCACACCCAGCAAGAGGCATGCTGTCCTCCATGGGTGTCCAAGCCCAAACCATAACCTGGACAGAAGAGCAGGCCCCAATCCAAAGGCTTCCCCACATTGGAGAAGACAGATGAGGCTTTGAAGAACCTCGACCACGATGTTTTCTTGATCAGGAGAGGCCCCTGGAGGCCCAGCTGGGATTGGAACATGAGAAGGTCAAAGCAGGTGGTGGCCAGGTACAATTTCCCAATTATGATGTTGGCACCATCGATTTCGTCCTACCCTCTTAATCCTTTAAACTTGACGGATGTGAGATGTTACCCAAAGGGCTGCGTTAGGCCAAGGCCTAAGGTACTAGGATTCCAAAGGCCCAGGATACTCATTTAACAGAGGTGACGACAAGTTAGGATTCTAACATGGACTTGGGAACTACAGAGCACTGGCTAGGTCCCACTCCCCCTTAATACCTAGAAGCTTGTATGACATTAGGGGATCAGTTATCCCTTCTAGGCCTTGGGCTACTCCTAGGAAAATAGATTTCTAGGGGAAAGAAATGCAAAGGCTGAGCACAGAGCAGGCTCTCAAAAAATGGCAGCTGCCAGCTGGGTGCCAGTGGCTTATACCTGTAATCATAGCTACTCAAGAGGCTAATATATGGGGATTGCAGTTCAAAGCCAGCCCGGGCAGGAAAATCCATGAGACTCTTATCTCAATCACCAGAAAACTGGAAGTGGCGATGTGGCTCAAGTGGTAGAGCATTTGCCTTGAGCTGAAGAGCTGAGGGATAGTGCCCAGGCCCTGAGGTCAGGTCCCACAACTGACAAAAAAAGAAAAAAGAAAAATAAACAAGTAGCTGCTTTTTGGTTATTCCTAGGATTCAAGTCCAGAGAGGGGAGGGGTCCTCCTGCTCAGGTCACACTGACTGACATAGGATGTCCAAGACACCACCGGCAGTAGCAGGGTTCCAGTAACCAGAGGCAGAATGCTTTTGCAGAGAGGGGCTGCTTGCTTCTGTCTCTCAGCACAGAATCCCACACAATGGCTCTGCGAAGAGTAAGGAGAGGAGGTTAAAGCTAAAAAAAGGTGGAACAAAGGAAGAGTGATGGCCAGGTATCTGCTGCGATCTCCAGTCAGTGACTGTGGGGCAGAGGACAGCAATAAAGCATTGGGTGGAGGCCGGCAAAGCAGAAAGCACTTGGGGAAGAGTTGGAATGGGGAACAGCAGGAGGGCCCCAGGACTCCCAAGAGTGACGGTTTCTATAGCTATAATCACTTGGTGCGAACACAGGCATTTGGCACACCAGACTTTTATTTCACAGCACTGATGATAGCTCACTCCTTTCAGAAAGCGGCAGCCAAGAAAAAGGAAGTGGTCCTCCCTTGGGGGGCGTGCAGCTCATCTTGGTAAGCGGGCCCCTGCTCGGGCCAGGTCGTGGGACCCCTTCTGCCAGTCCCTTACCCGGCTGCGCAGGTCCGATATGATGGCTGTGAGGTCGATGTTCTTCCTCTCATAGCCCTGCAGTTGGTCTTGGCACTCGGCCAGCTTAGCCTCCGTGATCTTGAGGATGTCAGGCAGCTGCTGTAGATCAGCCAGCTGGGACTGGAACTGCCGACGTGCCTGAGATGGAAGGAGAAAACCAATGTGGATCAGGACTCAGCTGCTTATGGGGCTAGGCAGGGCCCAGCTCCTCGAAGTACGTCCTACAAAACCTACAGACCTGAGCTGGGCACTGGTGCTCACGCCTGTCAACCTAGCTACTCAGGAAGCTGAGATCTGAGGATCAGAGCTCAAGGCCAGCCCTGGCAGGAAACTCCATGAGACTCTTCCATTAACCACCAGAAAATGGGAAGTAGTAGAGCGCTAGCCCTGAGCTAAAGAGCTCAGGGACAGTGCCCAGGCCCAGAGTTTAAACCCCATGACTGACAAAAACAAAACCTACAGGCTGCCCAGCGCACAGGCCATTCTAGCAGGGATCTAGCTGCTCTGAGAGATATACCTGGCCTGCCCTTGACACATGAGACTGCCTTTCATTAGCTCAATAATAATGATATAGCACACTAAAGACTCCTGACACTCACTGATTTTGGACAACATACGAAGTAGGTGTGGTAGGTGTTATTGTCCTCATGTAAAGATGCTATGGAGCCAGAGCCAGATTAAGGTCTGGTTTAACTCCGTAGCCCCCAGAAAGGCAACTACACGGGGAAATAACACATCGCCATCTCATCTATCCTTAACTTTACCAAGGACTGACTAAGGGCTAGAAAAGGGAAATGAGCTGCCCCAGACTCAACCTGCCTCCAAAGTTGCTGTTAAGGTGATCCCTCTGCTCTAATCAACCAATCATCCCTAAAAAAAATAACCCTCGGGCTGGGATGTAGCTCAGTGGCAAAGCGCTTGCCTAGCAAGTGCAACGTCCTGGGTTCAATCCCCAGTACCAAAAAAGAAAAGACAAAAAACAATAAGACTCTTTTTGAAAAGGGATAAACAGGATTTTGTGTTGTACAAAAAGAGAGAATGAAACAGGCATGCCAAATACCTACCAAGTGGACTCCACTTGGACTCCGAGCAAGAGTTTGGGTTTTTTTGTTTTGTTTGCTTTTTAAAAAAGGAAAATGGAAGAGGAGAAAGAAATATTGGAAAGGAAAAAAGACAAATAAAGCATGAAAAAGCCAGGCATGGTAGTGTGTACCTATAATCCTAGCTACTTGGAAGGGGAGAATAAGAGGATTACAGATCACAGGATCACACTTAATCCAAAAAATAATCCAAAAAGAGGGCTGGGGTATGGCTCCAGTAGTAGACCACTTGCCTATGCAAGTGCAAAGCTTGGGTAAGGAACCCAGTTACTCTTGTGCCCCAAGTTAGCAAGGTCAAGGGTACATAGATAAAACTCATAGAGGGAAGACAACAAGAAAAAGGGAGCAGTACCGCTTCAATTTCTTTGTTCATTTCGTCTTTAAGGATCTTGTTCTCTTTGTCACAGCGCTCGAGCTGGGCAGCCACTTCATCAGCTTCCAATCTGGTCTTCATCACCTAGGGGACAAAGATACAATGGGCTCCCTTAGGCAGAGCTCCTGGCCCTTCCAGAGAAGCCTGATAAGTGCGTTTTCCCAGTCTGACAGGGTACAGAGGACATGACTTGAGGGGCCAGGCCACTTGAGGCTTACCTGGCTCTTATAGTTGTCAATCATCCCCTCATAGTTCTTCACCGACGCCTTCAGCTGCTGGACCTCTAGGTGGGCCTGGTTGAGCTTGTCCTCCATTGGGGCGAAGCTAGCCTATAAGGGGTGGTTCAGAACAATGATCAGTACGTTCCCAAGTCAAAGTCTCTCCCTAGCCGGGCAGCAGTGGCTCACGCCTGTAATCCTAGCTACTCAGGAGGCTGAGATCTGAGGATCACAGTTCAAAGTCAACCTGGGCAGGAAAGCCCATGAGACTTTTTTTTTTTTAATTTTTGGGTCCGGTTGTGGGGCCTGAACTCTGGGCCTGGGCGCTGTCCCTCAGCTCTTCAGCTCAAGGCTAGCGCTCTACCACTTGAGCCACAGTGCCACTTCCGGCTTTTTTCTTTTTGCTTATGTGGTGCTGAGGAATCGAACCCAGGGCCTCAGTCATGCAAGGCAAGCACTCTACCACTGAGCCACCTTCCCAGCCCCCCCCCCAATGAGACTCTTATCTCCAATAAACCACAAGAAAAATAGAAGTGGCGCTGTGGCTTAAGTGGTAGAGCGCTCACCTTTGAAGAACGCAAGGATAGCGCCTAAGCCCAGAGTTCAAGCCCCACAACCAACCAAAAAAAAAAAACAGTCTGTCCCTTTCAGTCTACTCCCAGGAACTAGCAAAGGAAAAGCCCCTATTCTAACCCAGGCAGCAGTTGTGGTGCTGTAGCTCAAGTGGTAGAGTGCTAGCCTTAACTTCTGAAGAAAAGTGGAGCGCTGTGATGCTAGAATGCTGGCCTAGCATACACAAGAAAGACCCTGTTTTTCATCCCTAGCACTGAAGAAGTCAACAATGTTCTCCTCTAATCTCCTCTAACAAGTCCTCACCAGTCACGGTATGGTAATGTAATCAGAAGCAGTCACTTTAAAAGATGAAACTTTAAGCTAGGTGCCAGTGATTCATATCTATAATCCTAGCTTATTCAGGAGACTGAGATCTAAGGATCACAGAAGGCAGCGCAAGCAGGAGTCTGTAAAACTCGTCTCCAATTAACCACCAAAAAGTCAGAAGTTAAGCCGAGGCTCAAGCTACAGAGCACTAGCTGTGAGCAAAAATTCTCAGGGCACTGTCCCTGAGTTCAAGACCTATTAACCATGAAAGTGGTGCTGTGGCTCAAGCAGCAGAGTGCTTGCCTTGAGCTGAAGAGTGCAGGGACAGCGCCTAAGCCCAGACAGAGTTCAAGCCCCACGACAGACAAAAAAAAAAAAAGACCTATTAACCAGCATACTCACACACACACAAGATCAAGCTTTAAAATAATCTAGGGGCTGGGAATGTGGCTTAGTGGTAGAGTGCTTGTCTCACATGCATGAACCTATCCTTGAACTTTTTTCCTCAATGATAGCACTCTACCACTCTAAGCCACAGCTATGCTTCTGGTTTTTAGGTGATTATAATTGGAGATAGTCTCACAGGGACTTTTCAGCCTGGACTGGCTTCAAACTCTGAAGGTATAAGCACATCTGGCTAACCTTCACTTCTATACTGTATTATCTGTAATGGATTTTACTTTCTTGTTTTTGTGGTGCAAGGGATAGAGCCTAGAATTAGTGCATGCTAATAAGCAGGTTTTCTACTATTGACTATACCCCAGTTTCTTCTGTAATGTTTTAAATTTGTAATCTGCTTGTAATATGCTTGGGCTGGGAAGGTGGCTCAGTGGTAGAGTGCTTGTCTTGCATGCCTGAGGCCCTGGGTTCGATTCCCCAGCACCACATAAGCAAAAAGAAAAAAAGCTGTGGCTCAAGTGGTAGAGCGCTAGCCTTGAGCTGAAGAGCTAAGGGACAGCGCCCAGGCCCAGAGTTCAGGCCCCACGACTGGACCCCCCAAAAAAAAACCATTATGCTAAGAAAATATACTTCCTAGACACTTAAACGGCTGTACTGTATTACTCTACAAAGGTGTGCCAGATAGTCATTAATCCCTAATACTCAGATTTGAAAGTTACAACAATTGCAGTACAATCAGTGTGACAGTACTGTCACACTCCCACCAGAGTGGCTAAAAATAAAAAAAAGATAATACCAAATGTTGCCACGGAGACATGGGGCAACTGCTAGCTATTACTGGTGTGAGCACAAGTATGGATTTCTACTCTACTGTCTGGTAACACTCACTGAGCTGAACTATGACCACCACCAGATTACCTGGAAATTCTACTTCAAAGTATGTAACTGACCAAACACACCCAGTGTGTGTATCAAAAGATGCTCACAATAGCCCTGTGAAACAACTCAAAGGCCCATGGACAGTAAAACTGGCAAATATATTATCCTATCCTGCCACATGCCACAGTACTGAGGAAGAACCAATTATACATACATGGATGGCTTAAACAGATGCTGATTTATTCAGCGTGGCTTATACAGTCACACTTGAGAACGTAAATTGTCTGGGCTAGAAATGTGACTAAGGGGCTGGGAAGGTGGCTCAGTGGTAGAGTGCTTGCCTTGCATGCCTAAGGCCCTGGGTTCGATTCCTCAGCATCACATAAGCAAAAAGAAAAAGCCGGAAGTGGCGCGGTGGCTCCAGTGGTAGAGCACTAGCCTTGAGCTGAAGAGCTGAGGGACAGCGCCCAGGCCCAGAGTTCAGGCCCCA